CATACAGTTTAAAACTAAAATCACAATGTTTCAAGTCGATCGTCACAAATTCATCTTGTCCAACATTAGACTTTTGCAAACAATAATTTTGGTACATGTGGAATAGGTTTATTTGATGCTACATTCAATGAAATACACCCGATAATTAATGATCGTTGATGTGCGCATAATCACATACACGTGCATGCGCATATGTATGTGTATTTAGTGAGAAGTTATTTCACCATAACAAAGGTTAAAAATCACCGAGTGTAGTATCTCGATGAAGGTTAAAAATCACCAAGTGTAGTATCTCGATGACCATCGTCCGAAATACATGTTTGCCGTTCAACATACTGTTAAGTGTATATTTTTACACATTACCGTACCTTTTTATTTGGGCTTTTGGTGTGTTTTAACGATAATTGGTGCTTAAAAAGTTGATTTATTGTATTTTAGGTACAAATTGAAGAATTGGAAAAGTATGGGGTCAAAACTGCAATTTTGGCGAAAATATGGGCCAAAAGTGAAAATATCAAATTTCAGAAGATTTAATGCTGAGACCCCCGTCCCAGTTTTAGTGCAAATCGTGGGACCCCCGTCCGAGAATCCGAAGTTGCGCAGTAAAGGGATTTTAATTGCACAAGGAAACTGCCTTCTTCCCCAAGTTCTTCACCCTATATAAGACCAAGCCAAGCACACAATTGAGATCAATCTTTTTACGCAAAATCAAGAGCAAAGAAGATCAACGAAGATTCAAGCATAGTTTTTCTTATTTAATTTATTTATTTTATTTTATTTATCATAAGAATTACGAGTAGCTAAGTCTTTATTTCTAGGATTTTATTTGGAACCCTATGTGGGATTTATGAACTCAATTCTATGATTTTATGCAAGTTTTAATTCCGGATTATTTCTTCTTCTTGTTTTATTAAGTTCATGAAACTGGCCACTTTATGCGCTTTTATGTTATTGTTAATCGCATGAATCGGAAGATCGGGTTAATAATTAGAACTGTGGTAGAAGAGCCTTTGTGGTATTAACATAGGAATATAGTTAATCTCTTAGGTAGCCATTATTGAGATTTGTGCTTAATGCTGTGTTCTAGAATTAATTGCATAGGAATATAGTAATTGAATCTAGAGTATTAGAATTGTAATACACGCGGAAGCGGGTTATGATTAAATTAGCATCTCAGGTTAATAATCCGGATTAATTGCTTGTATAATTGAAGGAATTGGGGGAATAATAATCACATAGGGGGAAGAATAAAATCCTAGGCTTGTCTACTTTGATTAATCTTCGTTTTTCAATTGCTTTCGTGTTCTTGTCTTTTTAATTTGCTTTTTAATTTATTTTAATTTAGTTAATTCTCTCTAAATTCGACTGTGTAGGGTGGGCTTGATAATAATTGGTAGAATTTAGCGTCTAGGATTAGATAATTAAATATTCTCTGTGGGATCGATACTTGGACTTAAAAAATCCACTTTATTACTTGTACGATACGTGCACTTGCGTGTAGGTTTTCGACCAACACATACACAGCTAGTTTTATTAATACTAACATATCCCCCGATATATGTTTTTATTAATTAAAGGATAAATTACAAACACCCCCTGAGGTATGGTCAATTTACAAAAAAAAAAAACCTCTTGTTTGGAGAATTACATCTACCCCATCAACTATGATTTTTTCTTACATCTCCACCTTTATGGTGTCAACTTCAACGTAATCATCTAGATTTCGTGGAATGTGCTCTAGTTTGTACTCGTTTTGTGTAAAAATACAGTTTCTGATGCACCACAATCTGATATATATATATACAAGCCAAAAAACACATATTATGATCATCTTGCTTCAAAATGTAGAGTTCGAATGGGATAAAACGGGTACAAAAGTGATAATATTCCATATAATCTCGAAGATTCCACTAAATTTGAGTAGTTGAGGGGATGGTTGTAATTATCTAAACAAGAGGGTGATTTTCATAATTTGACCATACCTCAGGGGTGGTTGTAATTTACCCTTAATTCAAAGATAAAATTAATTCTACAACATTAAGTAAGGCCTAATTCAAATGGCCCATGAAGCCCAGTTTAATTTTTAATTTTTTTTTTTAAATTAAGAGTTCCCAAATCTGTTTAAACCACCCCAGCTGTACTAATGTTTTAATTGGGCCATTTGGCCCAACTTAGTAGTGGATCCGATTTTTTTTTTGTTACCATAAATGAAAGCGTTACGGTTCAGTTTATTGTGTTATGAACAAATAACAATAAATCGACAAATTTAATTAATGTAACGTACTAAGCAATGTGTTAGGCAAGGTAAAACCACATACACAAGCAATCGAGTGGCTAAGAAACATGACGTAATATTTTACCAGACAACCAAATGTAAACGCCATTTTAAGTAATTAAGTTCCAACTGTTTTAAATTCAACAATTAGATTTTTATTATTTTTTTGTGATATAAAATGTTAATATATAAAATTGAAGTTAATATTTTGGTAAAAAAAAAAAAAATTGAGAAAAATATCATGGTAAAATAGCCAAAAATGGATATTGAGGAAAAGGCGGAAGTTTAAAGTGAATGCGCCACGTGACAATCACGTGAAGATAAGTTGCAGAGATGATGAATAGCATATTCACCAATCCCAATGCGCCAGGTCAGACGTGTTGTCCTTGCTGTCAAACTTTCTTCCCTGTCCGTACCACCCCCCTATCATTAGTCCACACATTTTTTACATGTATATATTTCAATTTTATTTGGATATTTAATCACAAATTCGTAATCTATATCGAAACTTTTTAAACTTGATATACATTACCAGAATTTAGATTTGACCTAATACTGAAGGAAAAAAAAATGAAATCTCTGTGATAAAAAAAGAAATTATTTAATTTTTTGCCATTTTAAATATCTTTTTTGTGGAAGACTGATTCAGGTCAACCATCGCAAACGGCGGCAGAATTTAGATTTGACCATCCCATTTAAAATTAAAAATTAAAAAAAGTATTTTCTCTTGCATACTTCACGCGCCTTCGTATTAGTATGTGACAATAATTAAATAAATAAAATACCTATTGCGCTCCAAAAAGTTATAAACAAATAAACCAAATTGGACCCAACCCAACAATCAGTATCAACAATTATATTATTTCAATACCTAATTTTAATTGTTATTTTTCATCCACTTCCTATTTGTCTCAAAGTGGCAAACAATTATACCTCAAATTTAACCAAATTAATATCTTTTTCAAGTGCCTTTCTTCTACTTATGTTATTGCTTACAATTTTATCATTGTTTCCAACTTATTATTTAAAAATAAAATAAAAAAATAAAATAGTTTAAAAACCCATCGTAAATAACAAGGTTGCCAAAATCGAAATAACGATGAGAAATTAAGCAACGCCTTGTTACAGTTATGAGGGGGAAAAGTAGTTATTCATTTTTTTGGGTTTTAGAATCATTAAAATATTGTCTAAAAATTAAAAAACACAAAAAGTTGGGTGATTGAAATTAAGAAATTGTGCGTGCGCACTAATACATACATTGTGCGGAGTTTGAGCAATTCAAGCAATAACTCCCGCATTCTCCGATTCATTCCTTCCACTCCCTTTCTGCCACATCCACTCTTTTTTTATTATTATTATTATTTATTTATTTATTTATTCCAATTAAAAATTAAAATGATTATTTTACAGACACATATAAAAGCAGACATTCCATACCATGTCCAAGTAATTTTTTTAATTTTTAAAATATTTTTCAATTTGTTGTGCACCACTCACTATACATCTTGCTGGAAGTGTCTTTTTAATTTCATTCAATTCAATTCCCTTCTCTCTCCTCTATTTCACGTCTTTCTAGAGAGAGAAAACCAGGAGGAAAGAAGCAGACATCAGTTAAAAGGGTCTTCTTTTTTTCTTCCTTCCTTCTCCAGTTTCTCCGATTCAAACTTTCTTACACATCGATCTTTTTTTGCATGACCCGATTGTCGATTTCTTCTATATTCATCGTCAATCATGCATTAAATTCGTTCTGTTTTTTTTTTTTTTCATTTTGTCAGAAAAGATTTGATTTTTATTAAAAAGGCATCCCCAATTTCATTCTGGTAGTATTTAATTTCTTGAAATGCAGGCGCACAAAATCCCAGTTCTCTCGATCGCTCCAATTTTATTTTAAGATTTTTTTTTTTGTTCGTCTAGAATCTTGTAATTCTCTAACAAATCCATCACGCAGCCAGCTCATTCATAAAAGAATGTCCTTTTACACCCTTTCCCAAATCAATTTAAATAAACAATTTTAGATTTGTTTTAAAATCCTGTTTAATTCATCAATCTCTGTTTATTTATTGGGGATTTTTTTTTAAATCCCCCTTTTGCTTGTTTCTGCAATAATGGGTTGTGCGTCGTCGAAAGAGAAGGTATGCCGGAATTGCCAGGCACCTTATTCTCCGGTGAGGCGGAGCTATTCAATGCACGTGCACCACCCGCCTCAAAAAACAGGGGACACCTATCACGTGGTGGCGCTCACTTCATCCACATTGGGTTCTCTAAAGCTCGATCCATCATCGATTCAAATCCATCAAATACCCGAAAACAAAGACGACTCCGAAGAATCCCCGCCGAATCAGGATCAAATCATCGTAGATGATAATAAAACCGATGCGAAAAAGTCGGCTAAAGAGGAATTCGCAATGGGCATGATCGAGGCCAAGACTTGGTCAAACATGATCAACGAGAAAATCCCGAAAATAATCCCGAAAACGCCCATCCGAACGCCGCCCGGTGAGCCGGAAATGATCAACGCTTGGGAAATGATGGAGGGTTTAGAAGACATTAGCCCTCTTAGGCCGCCAGCTCATCATTTTCGTAGCTTCTCGTTTCATGTGCCGAACCGCTCGAGTCTAGCCTCCATCGATATCGAAGATCAACCAACTCCAAGAGTGAAAGAGAAAACCGGAGACGAATTATTTCCAAATAAGCCCTTGTGGTTGGATTTAGCAGAAACCGATTCGAATTCGAATTCGAACACGAACTCCAACGACACTTCAATAGTCTCCGAATTCGATCCGGAAGTGATCGCCTCGTTCCGAAGAGCACTAGAGGATCTCCCACCAGCCAATCCGTTCCACCTCAAATCAACGGACAAGATCGCGCCACGCGGCACGGAGAAGTTGATCGTGTACTTCACGAGTCTTAGGGGAGTGAGGAAGACGTACGAGGATTGTTGCCACGTTCGAGTAATCTTGAAAGGGTTGGGTGTTAAGGTAGACGAGAGGGACGTGTCTATGCACTCGGGGTTCAAGGACGAATTGAAGGAGCTATTGGGAGAAGGGTTCGGCAAGAAAGGGTTGCCTAGGGTTTTTCTCGGCAAGCAATGCGTCGGAGGCGCCGACGAGATTCGAAAGTTGAACGAGGATGGGAAGTTGGAGAAGTTGGTGGAGAGGTGTGAGGTGGTGGACGATGGCGGCGGAGGTGGCATTGGCGGCGGAGGTGGAATTGGCGGCGTTGTTTGCGAGGCGTGTGGCGATATTAGGTTTATACCATGCGAGACGTGTTCGGGGAGTTGTAAGATATATTACGAGGGAGATTACGATGAAGAAGGAGAAGAAGAAGTTGATTATAGTGAGCATGATGAATATGGTTTTCAAAGATGCCCTGATTGCAATGAAAATGGACTTGTTAGATGTCCAATTTGTTGTGATTGAGTTTTAATTAATATATTTTTCAATTTTTCAATTTTTAATTTTTGAATTTTTGGGTGTGAGTTGGTTTTGGTGTACAGTGAGAAGTTTTGATAGTTTGATTAAAGAGATATTTGAGAAGAAAGTGAAGAAGTTTGTTCACTTTGGTGTTTGTTGTTGAAGCTGAAGACTACATGTAATATAATGTGATGTAATGTAATGTAATGTAATAGTTCACCTTCATACATACACATACATGTTTTCTTTTAAGGATAAGCTGTTTGGTCATGATTCTTATTTGTTGGTCTGCATTTTTTCTGTTTTTTTCATTTAAGGTATGATTAAGTGAAGATGGCTAGTGTTTGTTAATGAATATATTTTTAATTAATAGGTTTAGAACGTGGTTGTTTCATTGTGATTAGCATAAGATATTACACCAGAAACAAAAGGTTGTCTGAAAAACTAAGGTGGAAAGTATGAAAAAGTCTGGTTGTTGAAAATGAAAGAATCTAAAAATATTTGTGTATTCTAAATTTTTTATAGTCCTATCTACAGATGTAGGCCGGCTTTTATTTTTTTTAATTTTTTTTTTCTCCCCAAAAGGTAATTTATTTTGTGTGTGTGTGTGTGTGTAATGATGTTGAAGAAACCAGAAGGATGATGCAGATTAGGTGAGATTTTCCTGGTCAGAGGAGTAATTTGTGTGTGAATAGAATAATTTCATAATTAGATTTTTGCAGTCAATATTTTATTATAGTAAAACTAGAGCATATTAACCACATTGTACTACAATCCAAGAATTATAATATTTTCAATGAGACCAAACTCGAAAACTATGGTATTGAAATGCCGGAAAATTAGGATGATACAAAATATATCGGGCGATTATTAACCGTTGATTATATCGTATCAATAAGGCGCACTGAAGTTGAATGCAACAAAAAAAAATGTGATGCTAAAAATAGAATTAAATTTAGAAGTAGAGCCATAAATATAACCACAAAGCACTTAAAAGAAATATATGCCCATGTATTATACTGCATATGAATAATTGAATACTGTAGAAAATGGGTTACAATTTGATATATTAATTAAATGTTATTATATAGAAAATAAAAAATGGTTTTAATTTATTGCAACTTTACGTTAGATGTATAAGTTTTCATTTTTTTTTTAATAAATATCTAATTTCAGAAAAAGATATGCGTCATAAATCATAATGATAATAAATCAAAACCATATGGGGTGTTTAATTAGGGAAAATCACAAGAAGATATATAAATAAATAAATAAATAAATAAGTCAGATTTCATGTGGCTTTTATTTTTGAAGCATGCTTGCTAAATTATTTTCCACAACTTGGCAGCATTAAAACTGTTCGTTGAAACAGTGTCTACATATTAATTAATACAACAATTAAATAAAATAAAAATCTCGAAAAAAAAAATAATAAAATCTATATTTAAAAATATTATTTTTGGGCACCTCTGTTTCCCAATTCAGCAGCAGCCTTAGCTGCATGATCTAAAACATCCGATACCCAAAGTGCCCCTTTGGCGAAATAACTGCTGCTAACTACCGCGCCGGCAGCGCGTGCAGCCGTTTTGCCCGTGAAAGAAGCCACCGCTTTAGTTGTCTCGTATACATTGTACTTTTGGTCCACATATCTTACTGTCTCGATTCCCGAGTGGAGTTTATCGGTCAGTCCGATTCTTTTGCTGAGTTCGGCGACCTTGGCTGCTGTGGTGGACGAAACTTGATGCGATTGGTCGAAAGCTCTTGCTTTATACAGCGCCTCTTTGCTCAATACGTAGCCCTTTGAGATCATGGTTTGCACTACTCCTTGCACCACTGTTACAGCTTCTCGAGGAGTCGACACAAAGTTGTCCGAGCGTGTGGACTATATATAACAAATTACTAAAATACCCTTGCAAAAAGTTTGAATGTTATGAAAGAATGTCGTATCGTATCGTATCGTACCGTTGAGTTATTAGTTGTGACATATGCCTCTTCGAAGTCGTAGAGATATGGAGATGGATCGATATTATGCGTTCCGCAACTGGTTATTGTTACTGGCTGATTAGCAATTTCGGATCCCTGAATTTGAAATTAAGGAAACGAAAGACATGTGATTATTGTGAAGCAATAGGATTCTACAAAATGTGAATTTGGATTGAACAATTTCGATTTGGAGGGAGGATTTTCGGAGGGAATCAGTTCGAATCGAGGGAGTAAGGATTTTAATTCTTTTTTTTTAAAGATCATCAACGATATCAAGACCTCAATTCTTGCTAATATTTTTGACATGATTGCATAATAAAATAGTTTTTTTTTTTTTTTTTTCGGTTCTTCGAAAATGTTGGGGAATAAATACAAGGGTTCGAACATGTTATTTTGGGGTAATGATGAGTAATGAAGCATCACTTACACTAAGGAAGAGCGCAATTTTCACCGAATAAGCTTCGTCAAATTCAACGTACGCGATCGAAATGTCAGCACTCATTCTGGCATCAAAATTCAAAATCGTCAAGTTAAGTTTATAAACACGAAAACAATAATAATGTCGAAGCAAAGGCAGTACAATACAAAACCTGTTGATTTCGAGGTGTTTGATATTGCCACAATTAAGGAAGAAGTGGTAAACATCTTCCCAAAGCACTTGTGCAGAAAGCCCAATCACTTCTACCATATATCTACCCTCCATTTTTTCTTCACACTATTCAATCTAATAAATCAAACAACAAATCTAATCAACTTATTATAATACAGCAACATTAATTAATTAAACCACAAAACAAAATAAATACATACAATTTTCTCAGATTAATTCTAACTTAACAAAACAGAGCACACAGAACAACAACTTAAGATTTTAGATGATGCAGTCATTCAAAAGCCAGGCCCAAAACAGGTAATTATATCAAGAATACAGGGGTAAAACAGTCCAAGATAAACAGGAGAATTACGCTTGCAGCAAACCTTGAGCGATGGCTTCAGATTATTTAGTGTGTGCGCGAATTTTGTGTGCAGTAGTACTGCTTTGGTGTGTGTACTGCGTGTTGATAACGGTCAGACCAACTTGTTGTGCACAAATATCAAGTCGGTCACAAAATGATTTCCAATGACCAATCAAATCTTGCCAACTCACCATCTATATATATAAATATAAATATATTTTCATTAACTGCTCTTTGATTATGGATTGGTCTATGTCGGTCGCTGCAATTTGATTGGTCCAAATATTTGGCCCAAAATATAATTATTTAAATTGCTTTCAGGGTTCTTTAGTGGGCTCAGAATTCCAGCCCACATAATTATTAAATATTACATAAATAAATTAAATATTACATAAATAAATTAAATATTCACTCAACATATTCCTTAACAAATTAAATTTGAAAATTTTATATTTAAGTACAGATAATAGGGGTAGTTTTCATTAGGCGGAGTCAGGATTTTAAATCCAGGGGCACCGAATGCATTAAAAAAACATGACAAGGGGGGCGTTAATACTAGTATACTGTACATATTTTTTTTAAATTACTTTTATATAAATTAAATGAGATTTGAGAAATATTAGGAAGCCACGAAGCATTCATATTTACATGGGAATTAAAGAATTAAGGGAAGACAGTCAATAATTCAATATTTAAAGAGAGTAGATGGTGTGAAAATAATTTGGCCTAATTGTTTGCTAATTAATTAACTAATTAAAATGTCTAGTTAAATAATGGTGTATAGTTTAGGTACAAAAAGAGTTAATGAGAGGGAGTTGATTAATATGAGTTGATTATGGAGGTGATTGGTGAGAGTGATAAGCTATTCATTAATTAGAGCAATTAAAGGATGCCTTATTTGATTAAGACATAAGTTTTAATCAAGAAAAGCAATGTCATTTTCTATCCCCTGTTAGGGCTGCAGATTTGTCTCTAGGATTAATACACTAATCTCTCTCAACTACCAACATTATTTTTGTATTAAGCGTTTAATCACTTTCTCATTTGCATGTCAATGTTTTGTTTAATCATACCAAATTATGTTTTAATTGACAACCTGATTCGATATTTCTTGTACTAACTTGATGAGGTACGTATCAAAATTTATATATCTTTGATTATATTATATTAATTAAAATTCGATAACCTGAATAAAAAAAATAAAAAAAAAAATAATGGAGATGCAAAATGAGGAAGCAAAATATCTAGTATTGATTCTGAAAATTGACAGCACGTATTGAGATAAAATTCTGGGAAGATGATGCGTAGTTAATTCTTTAAAAAGTTGACAAGTACAATTCGATACTCTAAATTTATTATATTTAGTATTAATACTCTCTGCAATAATAATTAATTTACTCAACATTGATTCATTTACCTCCCCTGTACTATTCAAATATCCACTTATCCCCCTAAATTATATGTTGTACTTATTTACACCCTTCTTTAAGCTAGATGTATCATTCTTTTTTTTTTTTCAATAATAATTTAATTCAACTTCCATTATTTTACATATTCGTTTAATTATTATTACTTTTTTAATTTCCATTTGATTTTATTTTCCTTCGAATTTATAGAGCAAAAATATATTTTTCTCTTAAAAGTAAATTATAACAAGAAACCGCAATTAAAAATATAATCATTTTCGTTATCATAGACTTGAACATGTAAATTAATTTTAAATATCCATCTAATTGATTTCAAGTGTGGGCATTCTATATTTATATAATATAATGTATTAAATATTTCATTATTAATTTTTAATATTAGATTTATTTAATCAAAACAATACGCCATGATAAATTTTAAATCGTGAATATTAGTGTAAAGATTTTCGAATAAATAAAGAAAAACTATTGAGTGTTATTTTCACTCTATGATACTTTATATTTTACTTATCTTTAGAACAAATATCGCTTAAAAGAAAATATAATTAGATAGTCCAATACAAGAAAAAAAAAATGAGCAAAACATAAAAGTGAGTACACATTAATATTATAAGTACTAAAATATTTACTTTCTTATGAAATTGAAAAGAGTGAGACTCGTCTTAAGAAAAAATGGTATGTTTGGTATAACATGTAATCGAGGAGGGTAATTAAAGAATTTTATAGTAGAGGGGAGGTAAGTGAAGATTTTTTAATATAATAACGGGGGATAAGTGAATGAAATTAACCCTAAATAATTTCCAACAATTTAATGCCCAATTACATAAAATAAATAAATAAATAACACATAAAAAATATGAAACAAAATTAAGTGCATAAATTCCCATTTAATTAATACATCTTAATTACAGCATGCATCCATTATAACAATGGATACTCGATAATCATAATAATAATAATAACAATAACAATATATAATAAATCGAATACTACTACTTCATCACGGTACTTAATTAATCGAAGCAAAAAAATGGAACGAGCGACGACATCACCCTGAAGCTGCTAAGGATGGTATTAATAATTATAATAATAATAATAATAATAATAATAATAATGACTGCATATATATATATATATATATA